TCCCTGTCAGAGCAGTCAGTGGTGGTAGCCGGGCACCATCTAGTTGTACTGGACTCAGTCTCGACACAGATATTCTTTACTAATTAAGTTAAATTATTGTTTGATTTAAAAAAGACTTCAGAGTCTCTGAACACATTTAAGCAGCACTTAAAGTCATTGTTTAACATTCAGGTGTAAAGGAACCCTGGTGGTGCGGTGGTTAAGCTCTTGACTACTAACCAAAAGGTTGGCAGTTTGAACCCACCAGCCACTCTGCAGGAGAAAGATGTGGCAGTCTGCTTCTGTAAAGATTTACAGCCTTGGAAACCCTATGTGACAGTTCTACTCTGTCCTGTAGGGTCACTATGAGTCAGAATTGACTCGACGGCAGTGGGTGGGGTGTTGTAGGGTCAGTTTTTATTCATTCTTTTTTTCTAGAGTATGAGTCACATTTTTCTGTTTTGTTCTCATGTCTGTTGATTTTTTGTTAAGTGCTGCCAGCCTTGAACACTGTCCTCTAATTCCTCAAGCCAGTGACACTGTGACTTTCTCACATTCTGAGGCATGGTTTGGGGAGTGCTTTCAGGCAAAAAGTTAGCCTTGTGAATCTCAACAGGTGCCATTCCTGTATTTCGAGGATAGATTCTTCCAGTTTTTGCCTCTTTTTTGGCATTTTTTTCAGTGCTTCTTCTTCTTCTTTTTTTTTTTTAAATATTTTGTTCAGATTTTATAATTTCCCTTTGGGGGATTAGTCTTGTTATTCTACTTTGCCATTTCTAGAACAGCAGTTCCCAATATCTATTTTTAGATGGTATTGCTAAGTTTTATATCCCTGATTCTGTACTTTTGTAGTTCAGGTTTGTTGAATCTAAGTTTAAGAGTCTCCTTATCCCTGTTTCATTTCTTCTTTGAAGTCTTTTCTCAAACATCACTTTCTCCTTGAAGCATCCCCTTACCATACTTCTCTAAGCCTGACTTAAATTGCTCCTTTCTGTGAACTTGATCCATTTTATTATAGTAATTATTGGCTTTATTTGACCTTCATTAAACTTGAGCTCCTTGAGATTAAGGACTGTATGTTTTACATCTGCATTCCTAGTACCTATCACAGTACCTTGCACATGTTTACATGAATGAATGCTGTTAGTTTTGCCTCATTTATATGTTGAATTCTTTTTGGATCTTGACCGTCCCATCTATTTTTACTATATGTTAGGCATAAAAGAAAAGTTGTAGTATTTTTATTTTATTTTAAAAAATATTCTATGGGCCCAGCACTAAAAAATATTTTACTAATTTTGCGTATTCATTTCTTTAGGGTTATTGATTTATAGTTTAATTTGTTCCAGACAGTGAGTATTTTGTTTCTAATTACATTGTCTTCATGCTTTAGTTTTTGAAGCTTGATTTATTGACATATGTTTGTTTTAGGTACTGTAGGTTGTACAGCAGCTCAGAAGTGTATATGGATAATTATAGTACAACCTAGAAAATGATATGCTGTCAAAGTAATACTGTGAAAGTCAAAAGAAGGACAGATCATGTCTATCATAGAGTATTTTAGGATTATTTCAGAGTTCTTCTCACATGCTACCTTTTTCATGCTGGAGGAGGAGGATTCTAATTTATGGAAGTAGGAAGAGCATTCCAGTGGAGGGAAAAGCATAAGCAAGCATGAGGAGCAGCATGAGCGAATGAAGAGGCAAGAAGTTATAATGTGTGTGCAGAAAATACTGAATAGCTCAGTTTGCTTATAGGATGGTAGTAGTAGGAAATAAGATAGGATAAGTGGTTTTAATGATCATATAATAGTGAACATTTTCTGAGCATTTATTTTCTGTCATTCACATTTAGGTATATTAACTTATAATGTTATTTATTTTACACACAATGAAACTTGGGCCCAGAGAAGTTATGCAGCTTCCCTGAGATCAGAGTTAGCAAATAGTGGAGCCAAGAATAGAACCCATCAATCTAATTCTAAAACCCAAGTCCTTAACCACTGGCTTTTAGAGAATTTTGAATATCAGTTTAAGGATTTTATACTCTAGATTTCCTAAAATGCAGCTGAGATTGTAATATTCCTCTGCTCTGCTTACACATTTCTGGTGGTTTTTACTAGGTATAAAATGACCTGGAGATGCGGGTCAGAATGGCGTGGGGAAAAGACTGGAGGTGGGGATATCAGACCATTATAGTAGGGCAGGCAGTAGGTATTGTGGAAATCTATGAATGTTATTATATTAATAGACCAAAGGCTTACAATATAACATTTTTTTCCAACAAAGCATAAAATTTTATTGTATAAATCTTCAGAAATAGTGTAAGAAGAAAAATGTCATTATTCATTGCTGGAGTTATAAGAATGATATATAGCTTACTTAACAGTTTTTTTTTCTGTACTTTAAGAGTTACATGAAGTCTTGATACTGCTGAGACCTTGTTTATCCTCTTTTATTCCCCTCTCTTTTGAAAAAATCATGTAAATGAGGACTGGAGAAGAAATTCAAAGTGAAACACTCTTTTGTTAGGACATTTATCAGTGTTCTCTTTTAAAATAACATCCTTTTGATCTCTTCCCATTGTTTTCTGAAAAATCAAACCGCAAAACTAGAATTCCTAGAAGAAACTTCAGATATGTGACAGGAAACCTAAAAATTTTTTGGCAGCTGCTGTTACCATAAGGAGAAGTCATGGGACTCAAACTTGTAGTACCTGCCTCCCAGATGATAGTGTTAACTCGGGGAGTGTTTAAGGCTCTAGAATGTTGAAACGGTGGAGTATTTAAGTCAAGAGACTCCTTTTCCTAGGCATTACACTTGAAATTCAGTTATTAATTTTAAATTGGGGCCTCAATTGGTTAATCTATACAACATATATATGTATATATATATATATTTAATTTCAATTCTATTCCTTTTTTTCAGGTCATAACTAAGGTTTATCTTAAGGCAAATCATATTGTAAAGAGAGACATCAATGAGCATTTACGAATCAAGACTGTCTATGATAAAAGTATCGAAGAGTAAGTACACCATTATTTTTTCATCTTTTTTTTTGTTAATTTTGATATTAAAGATATTTCCATATATTAACTGAAATTAAAAAAAAGCCCATAGGTGGAAGTAAATAAAAACTAGTACAGCTTCAAGATGCAAATAAACCAAAAGTGCTGTTTAGTCTGGAAGATGAAGGCCAGGGAGTATGATTAAAGTCTATACATCATGCATAATTTAAACAGAACAAACGTAGATCTGCTTGGATGTGGTCAGTAACAGAACTGGAAGACACCTCTGTGATAAGTACCTAGAGGAAAAATAAGGCGAAACACTAATGTACACAATAAGAAAGTTTACACCGCTATTAACCACAGAGGTGATGTAGTCTAACTTTTTATTTAATCCAGGAGGAATCCAGAAAAAGACAAATTATATGTAATGGTTTATGAAGAGCTGTTAGGAGTAGTTGATGTCTTTGCCTATCCTTAACTTCCCAAATGAATGAGATACCATATGACTGTGCCTAGTACAGTGCTTCGGCACATAGTAAACTCTCAAATGCACGTTGAGGTAAGTTGAGATTATTGAGGACAGATACTGCAACTTCTACACAGTGTTCTGGAGCCCTGGTGACACAGTGGTTAAGAGCTTGGCTGCGAACCAAAAGGTTGGCAGTTCGAATCCACCAGCTGCCCCTTGGACACCCTGTGGGGCAGTTCTACTCTGTCCCATAGGGTCGCTATGAGTCCGAATTGACTCGACGGCAACAGATGTGGTTGTTTTGGTTTTTTATACACTGTTCTTGGGGCTCCTGCCAGAGGTGTTCTGAACAAAACAGACAGTAGTCTGTCACAGCATGGTAATTCTTATGTTTCCTGTCTTCATTTTCAGGTTGCTCCCTGAGAAAAGATACCTTGTAAAGGTATGTAATAAATATTCCTGGCGTATAAAGTATACTTAAGATGGGTGCTTTTTTTTTTTTTTTTTAATTGTGCTTTAAATGGAAGTTTGCAGTTCAAGTTAGTTTCTCATACAAAACTTTAAACACATACTGCAATGTGACCCTAGTTGCACTCCCCATAT